CTTCCCAGGAACTCCTGCTGTCCTCCAGACACTAGGGCCATTGTGGATGTGTCTGGGAAGCCCTACTCTCTGCCCTGCCTTCTCCCTCCTCCCAATTTCCAGAAGAGAGGGCAGGAGGTTTAATGAAGTTCAGAGATTTCCCAAGGCAGCAGTGGATTCATCAGGTTCTCAGGTGGACATTTGTCAAGGGACGAATGTTTAAAAAAGTATGGAAGAAAGCAAGATTCTTAACAAGCCCTTTGTTTGATTTTGTATGTGTAAACTTTGTCCTCCTAGTACCTGAATCCTGGCTGCTCCTTCTATGGCCGTGGTTCTGCCGTTTTTCAGCCCATCTGTAAGACCCTGACCACTTTGGACTTTTTTTTTTCTTTGAACATTCTAGATCTCTATTATACTGTGCCCCATGCCAGGATTTTTCCATTTGGGGGTAGGAAAAAAAAATTCCCAAGCCCACCAAAACCCTGTGGGTTGGTTTCCTGTCCAGCTGGCATGCTGTTCCCAGGATTTTATTCCCCTCATCAGAGTGGCTTGACAGACCAAGAACAAACCTCTGGCTCACCCTGAACTGACAGTGTGCCCTTTCCAAGTCCAAACAAACATCAAGTAACGGTGAGAGAGAAAGAAAGAGAACAAAATGATTTTCCTGACTTAGAAGCCAGTTTAGAGTGAGACCCAACTCTGACTCCAGACAGGATGGTTATGTGGCTGTGGCTGTGGCCATGGCTCTGGCTATAGCCGTTCTTGAGGGTAGAGCCATGAACAGTGGGCTCCAAGCCAGGATTTCTGTCTCAGTTGGTCTCAAAGGAGAAGCCACGGATGGAGTCCTTTATGGCCCCAGATCCTCTGTTTCCCAGACTCAAGAGCAGCAATCCTCGAGGGAGCATCCCACAATCTCCTTGACTGCATCAGATTTAGCCCAGAGCCTCTCTATTATGGGGGTAGTCACAGTGGGCCTCAGAGTGTCCCAGGAGGCCAGCAAGTTCACCAGCCTGTACCAGATCCAAAAAAAGATGCAGAACCCTTCAGCCAGGCAGGGAACTCTTAAGATTGCCAACCTTTCCTTGATTGATTTAGAAATCCTAAAAAATATACTTACTTAGCTAAAAATCTCATGGAAACTAGGCTCCTCCTCAGAGTTGACAGTCAAACCAGCTTCCCTCAAATTTCCCTTTATGGTTCTGTATGGCTCCAATAGGAAGACATCCAGGGTGAGAGGCTATGACTCTGAGGCCACATGGGAGCAGACAGTGCATTTTTACACTAAGAAGCACCCAGTTAGCATGAGGCAGCCCATCTCCTGAAGGCCTGGCCTGCCTTTTTCTTGTTCCTACTTTTCAGCACATTCTCTCATCTTCCCCTCCTGATCTCCCTAGGTCCGTAGATAGGCCAGACTGATTCCTTCCCATATCTATTGACCCCTCTCAAAACGCCCTTCCCTATCAACTTTGTCTGGCTAAAATCTTCTCATCATTCATGGCCCAGTTGGAATTACATCCCCATAAACCTTTCCCATCGCTCCAATCCCACCTGATGTTCTTTCTCTTCACTCCTTACATCCTGTCCCAAAGTTTGCCCTTATTTTTGTCTCCATAACTGCATAGAATTCTCTGAGGTCAGAAATCATCTCATGGACCTCATTTCCCAGCACTTAGCTCAGAGCTGGGTGCTCAGGGGATTCCGTCTGCTCTCCGCGGGCTGCTTACTCAGCTCTATGCTGGATAGCTGACAGTTCATGAACCCCGCAGCACTGGCTTTTCTCGCATTCTTGAGTGGCCCTTTCTTTGGCAGAGGGAAGTCCTACCTGTTACACAGTGGAAATGCCAGAATTGCAAATTGTATCATTAAAGAAGTTTTCGTAAAGTGTGGACCTTTCATAGGGAGTAGACAGATAAGGACAGGGAGTTAGGGTTGTGAGACCTGGGGAAAATGAGATAGAAATGAAAGATAAGGGTAGGTTTGGGAAGAAAAATTCCAAATAGATGAAAGTTTTAAGCAACAACAACAAAATGGAATTATAAATATATATAAATTTTAAAAATTACAATTATATATATAATTTTTACAATTATATATAATTATATATTTACATTTACATATAATTTACATTTACATATAATGTACAATTTTATATATATATATATGTATATATGTATATATATACATATATATATATATATAAAATCTTGAAGAAGGTATAGACTTTGTAAGCATGATATAAAATCCAGGAGACACAAATAAAAATACCAGTATACTTGGCTGCATTGAACTAAACATTTTTGACTTGTAAAAAATTTATAAAGTTGAAAGACAAATGATAAACTGCAAAAATATTAAAAACAAATAAATAAAAGGGGCGGCTGGGTGGCTCAGTCATTAAGCGTCTGCCTTTGGCTTAGGTCATGATCCCAGGGTCCTGGATTTGAGCCCCGCATCCGGCTCCCTGCTCTGTAGGAAGTGTGCTTCTCCCTCTCCCACTCCCCCTGCTTGTGTTCCCTCTCTCAATGTGTCTCTCTCTGTCAAATAAATAAAATCTTGTAAAAATAAATAAATAAATAATAAAAAATAGACTGCAAAAATATTTATAGCACATGTGACAAAGAGTAGATTTCCTTAATACACAGAGAGCTCCCACAAATCAATAAGAAAAAGACCAACAACGTTAATGGACAGGGGAACTGAATACATTTCACAGAGAAGGAAATCGAGGCATCTTTTTTGAAAAGCATATGAAGTGATGATCAGCCTCACTTATAACAAAATAATCACAACATAAAAATGATGAGATACTGTTTTTCACTTATCATTTTGATAAAAGTCAAAAAAGTTTAATAGTACACTGTTGGTCAGGTTGTGGGAGACTGGAATTCTTTGGCATGCTGTTGGTGAACATGTATTATCTCTTTGGAGAGCATCTTGTTAAAAACAATCATAATTTTAGATTTGCAAATACCTTGATCTGTCTATTCAGCTTCTAGGAATTTCTCCCCTGAGTACTCATTTATATGCACAAAACTGATGTATATATACATTCTTTATTGTTTTTAGCTAAGTATCTTAAATAATCTGAATTCTTTCAAAAGGGGATTGGTACCTCCATGGCATGGAACAGTCTACAACCTTTGAAAGAGAGGCAGATCTCTGTTTTTAATGGCATGATGTCAAAAACGTGTAAGTGAGAAAAAGTAATGCCTAGAACTTAGTATACAGTAAACTACTCTTTGTGTAAAACTAAGCAAGTGGGTAGCTATAGATAGATGCTTGTAAATGAACAGAATGAGTCTGGAAGGCCATACTGAGAAGTAGTAATAGTAGTGGCCTCCGGGAACAGAAGGTGAGCAGAGGGCAGTGGATGGAAGAGAACTCCATTCTCACAGCATGCCCTTTTGTACGGACTTATTTTTTTTTTTTTTAGATTTTATTTATTTATTTGACAGAGAGAAATCACAAGTAGGCAGAGAGGCAGGCAGAGAGAGAGGAGGAATCAGGCTCCTCGCTGAGCAGAAAGCCCGATGTGGGGCTTGAACCCAGGACCTGGGATCATGACCTGAGCTGAAGGCAGTGGCTCAACCCACTGAGCCACCCAGGCGCCCCATGTACGGACTTATTTTTATACCATGTGCACGTTACCTATTTCTTAAAGCTTATTTTTAAAAAAATAGCTAGGTACAGGTATGAAATTAGGCCAAACATGAGGTATGTGTATAAACGAGGAGTTACGGTAGGGCAGGAGTCGAAGCAGGCAGGTGACTAGAGAGGAAGCAAGTCAGCAGGACAGAATGAGGCGGGTCAGCAAGAGAGAGACCTGGACACATGGCAGTTTCGTGTTTTCTTTTAAGTCAAAAGTATCTGATTTTCTTTTCATACGAGAGCGTATGCCGGGCCTAGATATGGCCAGTTCAGGATAGAATAGGAATAAACTTAAGGGAAATGGTGATAAGACTGTTCAAATGCAGGGAATGAGGAGGATGGGTTTAGGGGTCAGGTAAATGGAATGTCACCGGCCAGAACATTCGTGCCATTCCCTCATCTTAAGCTGGAAGCAGAGAAGGCAGGGAGCGAACACCTGATGGGGCGTCTGCCGTGGCCCATAAGCGAGGCGGGCATTCCACTTGCGCCACATCCGAAGTCACCGCGACTCACCATGCCGTGATTAGGGTTTCCATTGTCCCAATCAGGAATAGGACTCAGGTCACAGAAATAAGCGGCAAAGCCAAGATTCAAATCCAAAATGTCCCTTCTCTTTTTACTACGTGTCCTCTTTTACTACGTGCACATCAGGGAGGGTGGGGCCCTTTTCACAGTCAGTCCGTGTGACCCGAGGCTCAGAGCCAGGGGGACCAGCACTGTTTTCCAAAGAAAGTCTTCATTCTTCCTTTTTTATCCAGACCCCTAAATCCAAGCCCACTTACTTTTTCCAGCATGTGGTTCAAAGAGCAAAGTGAACTCCATTTATTGAAAAAAGAAAAACTTGCGCTTATTGGGAAAGGAATGTCTGTCGCAGGACTTGTTAGCACTCCCGTGTGTTTGGTTTTCAGCCGGTTCTTTTAAGTCTGTAGGTATGGTTTGTCCTACGCCAGTGCAATCTCCTTCTCCAGAATGCTCAGTCAGTGACACTCGTAACCCAAGATCACCTCCACCCCCCTAGATCTGTCCACTAAAGAGGAAAAATAATAGAATATTAACTCCCCCCACCAATCTCCTCGTTTTCAAATAACTGGGATAGGATACCGGGTTTTGTTTGTTTTCAGCTTGTTTTATTTGGAACCAGAGCATAGAGTTTTATCTGTTTTTGTGCATGTGTATCCCCAACCCCCACCTTGTGCTCTAGGATTTCATTTCCTCATTTGACTTACTGTCGTGTTTCTACTATTGGCGATTATCTGTCTTTTTTAGCATTGGCCATAACTCCCTAAGCCTCATGATACACCTTTTTCTCATCTGTGACCCAGACCTCAGGGAGAGAAAAATACCAGCTTATCTCCTGTTCTTTACCTTTCTAGGCAAAATCCGTGTTTGGTGACCAGAGCTGTATATATTGACATTCTCTTCCTGTTGCCTCGCTGCCTTGACAAGCCCACGAAAGGCACCCAGCCAGGTATGATTCATAGTTATATCATATTTTGGAATGATTATGGATCTCTGAACTACAGGTGGGGCTTTGAGTGGGTCTGCTGCACACTCCCCCCAGCTTTTACTTTCGTAAAACTAATCACACATCAGAATTCAGCATGGTGTCATACAGTTCCTTCGTACACACTTTTCAAGGAAACTTATCCTTGTTTAGTTGGAAGTTTGCCATTTATTTTCTGTTTTGTTGTTCAGGAGGGAGTTTGGACTCTGAGTACTCAAATACCCTCTGTATCTCAGAGACCTTGGCTTTTTCCTCTTCCATTCATTTTCTTTAAAATTCAAAGAAAGCAGAGAGTCCATTCTGCTCCATTCCGCGGAGCTAACTGAACTGGGCTCATTTGATCCTGGAGTCAGGATACCGGAGACTCAGTCCCAAATCCACCCTCACTGCCTTAAACTCTGACTTGAGATTCGTTCCTTGGTCATACACGTTTCTGCTATGGGCCGCCAGATCCATATATAATTGTTCTATTTTAATGATGATTCACAGAGTGTTTTTATTATTAACATATAATGTATTATTTGTTTCAGGGGTACAGGTCTGTGATTCATCAGTCTTACACAATTCACAGCACTCACCATAGCACATACCCTCCCCAATGTCTATCACTCAGCCACCCTATCCCTCCCCCCCACCCCACCTCCCCAGCAACCCTCAGTTTGTTTCCTGAGATTAAGAGTCTCTTATGGTTTGTCTCTCTCCTGATCCCATCTTGTTTCATTTTTTCCCTCCTTTCCCCCCACAAACCCCCACCCTGCCTCTCAAATTCCTCATATCAGAGAGATCATATGATAATTGTCCTTCTCTGATTGACTTATTTTCTCAGCAAAATACCCTCTAGTTCCATCCACGTCGTTGCAAATGGCAAGATTTCGGTTTTTGATGGCTGCATAGTATTCCATTGTGTATGTATGTGTACACACACACACACACATATATACCACATCTTTATCCATTCATCTATTGATGGACATTTAGGTTCCTTCCATAGTTTGGCTATTGTGGACATTGCTGCTATAAACAATCGGGTGCACATGGCCCCTTTGGATCACTGTATTTGCATCTTTAGGGTAAATACCCAGTGGTGTGATTGCTGGGTCGTACAGTAGCTCTATTTTCAACTTTTTGAGGAACCTCCATACTGTTTTCCAGAGTGGCTGCACCAGCTTGCATTCCCACCAACAGTGTAGGAGGGTTCCGCTTTTTCCCCATCCTTGCCAACATCTGTCATTTCCTGACTTGTTAATTTTAGCCGTTCTGAATGGTATGCGGTGGTATCTCACTGTGGTTTTGATTTGTATTTCCCTGATGCCAAGTGATGTGGAGCACTTTTTCATGTGTCTGTTGGCCATCTGGATGTCTTCTTTGCAGAAATGTCTGTTATGTCTTCTGCCCATTTCTTGATTGGATTATTTGTTCTTTGGATGTTGAGTTTGATAAGTTCTTTATAGATTTTAGATACTAACCCTCTATCTGGTATGTCATTTGCAAATATCTTCTCCCATTTTGTCAGTTGTCTTTGGTTTTGTTGACTTTCTCTTGCTGTGCAAAAGCTTTTGATTTTGATGAAGTCCCAATAGTTCATTTTGCCCTTGCTTCCCTTGCCTTTGGTGACATTTCTAGGAAGATGTTGCTGCAGCTGAGGTTGAAGAAGTTGCTGCCTGTGTTCTCCTCAAGGATTTTGATGGATTCCTGTCTCATATTTAGGTGTTTCATCCATTTTGAGTCTATTTTTGTGTATGGTATAAGGAAATGGTCCAGTTTCATTCTTCTGCATGTGGCTATCCAATTTTCCCAACACCATTTGTTGAAGAAGACTGTCTTTTTTCCATTGGATATCCTTTCCTGCTTTATCAAATATTAGTTGACCATAGAGCTGAGGGTCCATTTCTGGGCTCTCTGTTCTGTTCCATTGACCTATGTGTCTGTTTTTGGGCCAGTACCATACAGTCTTGATGATGACAGCTTTGTGATAGAGCTTGAAGCCTGGAATTGTGATGCTGCCAACTTTGGTTTTCTTTTTCAACATTCCTCTGGCTATTCAGGGTGTTTTCTGGTTCCATATAAATTTTAGGATTATTCCTTTCATTTCTTTGAAAAAAGTTGATGGTATTTTGATAGGGATTGCACTGACTGTAGATTGCTTTAGGTAGCATAGACATTTTCACAATATTTGTTCTTCCAATCCATGAGCATGGAATGTTTTTCCATTTCTTTGTGTCTTCCTCATTTCTTTCATGAGTACTTCATAGTTTTCTGAGTACAGATTCTTTGCCTCTTTGGTTAGGTTTATTCCTAGGTATCTTATGGTTTTGGGTGCAACTATAAATGGGATCAACTTCTTAATTTCTCTTTCTTCCTTCTTGCTGTTGGTGTATAGAAATGCAACTGATTTCACAGAGTGATTTTCTTTAAATGGAGAAGGGCAACTTCAAATTAAAAAAAATTTTTTTTTATGTGTTTATATAAGAGGCTGCAGGAAGTGCTATACATGAGCTCCAGGCCACAGACTGAAACTGATTTTCAGCAACACAAACTGGAATGCAGCGTAATGAGGCTGCAACTGGTTAAAATCAGGCTCTTCTAATTGATTAGGCCTGTCGAAAGGAGGCTACAATTACAAAGTCACATTCTGAGTACAAGCAGGCCAGGCCTTTCCCCTGTTACATTTAGTCTGTCAATGATTTGTTGTCTTCAGTAAATATATTCAGGCTGTCAGAGTCCAGCTCTGTCCATATGGAACCCTGTTCCCAAATTCAAACCAATTTAAAGTGCTTTGAGGGGGAGGTGCGAAACCACCTCACCCGGATCGATGACTATTAGCCCACAGAGCCCCTGTGGCCACGCAGAGGTAAGAAGAACACGCCTGGACTTTCATCAGCTCCCCAGCCCTGCAGAGGGTGGCCATTGTATCCATTTGGTAGAATAAGCTCATATAGTTTTGTAGCTGTCAAACAGTCCTAGTTTATGCCTCGTCGCAGCCTAATTACTAATAGTGTCCCCCTTTACCCATGGAAGTGTCCAGGTTTGCTCCCCCAATTATAGATCACCCCCACTGTAAGGGACCTCAGGGTTGCGCCACTGTATTTTACACTTGAACTAACTGGGTTGTGGAGATTATAAATCAGGTGTTCCTGGGGCGCCTGGGTGGCTCAGTGGGTTAGAGCCTCTGCCTTCGGCTCAGGTCATGATCCCAGGGTCATGGGATCCAGCCCCGTGTGTCGGGCTCTCTGCTCAGCAGGGAGCCTGTTTCCTCGTCTCTCTCTGCCTGCCTCTCTGCCGACTTGTGCTGTCAAATAAATAAATAAAATATTTTTTAAATAAATAAATAAGTCAGGTGTTACCAAGGAAGTTGGTTCAGGTTTCCTCTATTTTTGTATTTCAATTCCAAATTCTCTATAGCTTGACAGTCCTTCTCTGCTTAGTAGCTAAAGGACTTTGGCCTTGAAAGAGTTGCTCACGACTCATGAGTCCAGGCTTTGGGATCCTCTCGGAGTTGTGTGGTTGACCGTAATCATCAATTTATTTGAACCAAGTTTTCCTTAACGTACTAGTACCTTTATTCCTAGTCCAGAGAGGTTAACCCTTGAGTGTTGTGGGCAAAAGTCATGTTTGGTGGATTTTCTGTTCTCCAGCCACCTGCCCTTTACTGATGCTTGGACTCCTCCATGAAGACGTTGGCCTTTTTAAACCATCCTTTCCTCCAAAGTCTTGCGTTACAGAAGACTTTGTACCCCAGTTAAAAGTGGGCACAGCTGTCATTTATTTTGCTCAGTACTGTGTCGTACTTGCATCGATGCATCATTCCTCTTACAGAGTCTTTACTCTGCCGAGGAGGATGCTACAGAGTGGGTGCTCTTGCCTTTATTCTAGTATGACAGCCATCGCTTGAAATACTTTATCCCGCCCTGCCCAGTGTGGCAGTCACTAGCCACATGTGGCTCCTAGGCTCTTGGGATGTGGCCGATCCAAATGGGAATGTTTTGGAAGGATAAAATACACACCCAATTTCAAAGAGTTAGTATGAAAACAATTTCTCACTCACTTTTTATGTTGATTACATGTTGGAATGATACTATTTTTGATATATCAGATTAAATGAAATATATTATTAAAACGAATTTCACCTATTTCTTTGTATTTCTAAAAAATGTGGCTGCTGGAAAATAAAAAATTATATATGTGGCTCATATTCTCTTCCTATCAGACAAGTAAGGATGTTATCCAGTCCTTCAGGATTTGCCCATATAAGCCACAGATGTGTGTGTATATGTGTGTCTGTCTGTATGAATGTTATACAATCATATAATACATCCACACAAACAATGGTAACAAATTTTCCTCCTTTGAGGATGGAACTACATCTTTAGAACTAACCAAATGTCAAATACGACAGCGATTCAGATGGACAGCACTGTTGAGGAAAAAAATAAACTGTGAACTTAAAGTAATGAAATCTATTCTTATGTGTTTCATAAATTGTTTCCAAAGCCAGCTTGAGCGATAGCTAAATATGTTACCAAACAAGGCAATCACTTACTTAGACGTGTAGACTTCAATGTGATTTCGAAATAATATCATGACATTATAGTATTACCTTGCAGGTACCTTGAAAGGATGGATCATGCCTTAGATTCTTCGTCCCTCAGCTAAGCACACAGGAGGCCCTTGTTAAGTGGGTTGGTTATTAACTGATGGAAATGCAGAGTTGGTTCCTCAGTTTTTAGAATAGTAACAGTTGTCATCAAGATACAAAGTCTTAATTAAATTCATGCATCAATCAGATGTAAATTCATTTTCTGAACTCAAACGTTATGTTTATGTGATGTTCATATCATATCTGTAAATGTCTACCTCCATTATTAGCTCACAAAGCTCAGAGTAGGGAGTATATCATTCAGGCTCTGAAGCCATAACCCTCGGTTTGAATCCCAGATCTGCCATTTAGCTCTGTGACCTCAGGC